TTACATTTTTACTTTTTTTTTTTAATACCACCATTGAATCTGGGATCAACCGACAAGTATGAACATGATGCACAATTTTGAAGGAAAAAAGAAAAAAAAAAAAAAAAAATTGATTCTTAACTTCTTATTACTGCGTGTGTTGGGAGCCGGCTAGCCTGTCAGGCTACACCCCTTTTTTTTTTCTATTCAATTCGACACCTAAACCTCTCCATTCCTTAAATCACCAACTTCTCCTACTGCTTTACGCAAACAAAATCAAACCCAATTTGAGTTTGTTCTTATTTCTTCTTAAACCCTTTTGAACCCTCAAATTTAGGGATCCAAACCCATTTCCCATCTGGGGTTTTGTTGTTCGTTTAAGGGTAATCGCCTGATCTTAAGGGTATGTCGAAGCTTGTTTTGAAAGGGGGAAGTAGGCCACCATGGGTGGGTTTGGCTGCTGCTGTTTGGGTTCAAATAGCTGCTGGTTCTTCTTATAATTTCTCTCTTTACTCACACTTGCTTAAATCTGTTCTGGGTTTGAATCAGCAGCAGCTTACGGTTCTTGGAGTGGCTAATGACATTGGGGAGAGTGTGGGTTTGCTCCCTGGCCTTGCTTGTAACAGATTTCCCCCATGGGCTGTTCTTTTGGTCGGTGCTGTGTGTTGCTTTGTGGGTTATGGAGCTATTTGGCTTGCTGTTAGCAGGACTGTCCCCAATCTGCCTTATTGGCTGGTGAGTCTAATGTTCATCTTTTCAAGAACTTGTTGGGTTTTTCCTGGTTTTTGTTTGCTGATCTTGATGAATTCTACAGATTAGTTCCTTTGTTTGCTTTGTTATTATAAACCTTGATGTTTCTCTGTTAATGGAGGTGGTTTACTTATTTATTGGTTTCTATTAGATCTGAAATCAAAGCTGCTTTCAAAACTTGCTTGGTTCTTTTAGAACACTCCTAAAAAGTAGATAATAAAACATTAATTTGAGCAAGCTTTGTGTTCTTGAGATGATCTGAATGATACTAAGCTAGTATATTGATGCTAATATGCTCATACTATCCATCTTATGTAACTCACAAGCACAATCAGTTAGATGAAATCCATAGATATTCAATGGATAAGGTTGAAGTTGATTTCGAGATGAATCCTACTTTCGTATTCGAGCGATTTCGAAACTCTGTCTCGTTGATTCTCAAGTTCCTTTTGTCTACTTTCCGTTCTACTCTGCTATTCTCAATATGCAAGAGTCCAAGCTCACCGCAAGTAGATATTGTTCTCTTTGAGCTTTCCGTCAAGGTTTTTAGAACGTGTCTGTTAGGGAGAGGTTTCCACACCTTTATAAAGAATGCTTCGTTCTCCTCTACAACCGATGTGGGATCTCACAATCCGCCCCGCTAGTAGATATTGTCCTCCTTGAATTTTCCCTTTTGGGCTTTCCCTTAAAGTTTTTAGAACACATCTACTAGGGAGAGGTTTCCACACTCTTATAAAGAATGCTTCGCTCTCCTCCTAACTGAGGTGGGATCTCACAATCCATCCACTTTCGGGGCACAGCGTCTTCGTTGGCACTTGTTCCTCTCTCCAATCATTATGGGATCTCACAGAACAAATTTTTCCATTTGTACCATTCTATTATCTCACTTGGTTGATTGCTTGATATCTGATTATCGTTTTTTATTGAAACGGGAGAATTGAAATAAAAGCTGTATCGATAACTCGGAGAACGGCATAGGAATACCTGTGTAAGTAGAGGAACTTGAACACTCCCATTAGAGGGCTCTCAAGCTTAAACTACCAATAATTTGTCGTTTCAGCACTTTTCTTAGCTTGCTTCTTGATCTTGTATTCTTTATCATGGCAGCTATGGCTCACACATTGTATTGCTACAAATAGCAATGCATGGTTTGGAACGGCCGTGCTCGTTACGAACATGAGAAACTTCCCTCTCAGCAGAGGTACCGTTGCTGGCATTCTTAAAGGTTATGTCGGGCTTAGCGCAGCTGTATATACGGTGATATACAGTATGGTGCTCAGAAAGTCTGCTTTGGATTTAGTGTTGTTTCTTGCGATCGGGATACCGATTTTGTGTTTAGCCTTGATGTACTTTGTTCGACCTTGTACTCCGGCTTCAACGGAGGACCCTTCTGAGCGTAATCATTTTCTTTTCACGCAAGCTGCTTGTGTTTTGCTAGCTGTTTTTTTAGTCTCGACCACAATCCTAGATGCAACGACGACCCCTAGCAATGCTGTTGCGTACACCTTAGTTGCCATAATGGTTGTCCTTTTAATGTCTCCTCTTGCTGTTCCCATAAAAATGACCATTTGTTCTGTTAAAACGAAAAAACTTGGCCCTCGAGTCGACTCTACCGAACCTTTGGCTTCTGGAGAAAGCGATTCTTCCCAAATAGAACCTTTATTGACCCCATCTTCCTCTGCTACAAATCTTGGAAGTTTCTACGAGAACGACGAATCATCGGATGTAGAAACACTTCTTGCTGTGGGAGAGGGGGCGATTCATAAGAAGAAAAGAAAACCGAAACGAGGGGAAGATTTCAAGCTCCGTGAAGCCGTGATCAAAGCTGATTTTTGGTTGCTTTGGTTCCTGTACTTCCTCGGGGTCGGTCCTGGAATAACGGTTCTCAACAATTTGTCTCAAATTGGGATTGCATTGGGTGTTAATGACACAACATTGCTGTTGGCTCTTTTCAGCTTCTGCAATTTCGTTGGTCGTCTAGGATCTGGCGTTATTTCCGAACACTTCGTCAGGTAAACGCTATTACGAATCGAATTAATAATTTGTTCCAACTTTTGTGTATGAGTTATCTCAGAAACAGCTCGCTTTCGTTCCCAGATTTCGGGGATCATTATGCTTCCAAATCTGTGTATGAGTTGCTCACATTCGTTGGTCGATGCAGGTCGAGAATGATACCTCGGTCGTTGTGGATGATGTTTGCACTTATGCTTATGTCTGTAGCATTCCTACTGTATGCGTCCGCCCACACGGTTACTCTCTATGTCGCCACTGGTCTCATGGGAATCAGCTACGGAGTTCTATATGCTATGATGGTCCCTCTCGCATCCGAGATTTTCGGCCTAAAGAATTTCGGAGTAATCTTCAACTTCATGCAGCTGGGGAATCCGATAGGAGCAGTCCTTTTCTCGGTTCTACTCGCGAGTACTTTATACGACAATGAAGCTGCTAAGCAAGGTTCGATAACCTGCATAGGCCAAGAGTGCTTCAGGGTTACATTCTTCGTCCTCTCAGGCGTTGCCGGGTTAGGCTCGATCTTGTGCATCATTCTGACTGTTAGATTAAGGCCAGTGTATCAAATGCTGTACGCGGGTGGCTCGTTCCGGTTGCCTCAGAATTCAGGTCATTGATGCTAGATTCGGTTCGGTTCGTCGGGGCAGTGGCTAACCAAAAGTTGATAGATTTTGTGGTTGGGTTTGGCCAAACTTGTGTTGGGTGAGTTAAAAATGGATGTGTGTTGTATTAGGGTTTGTTGTGTATGTGTTCGTTAATGTTGTGCATTGATGAACACCATGTGAAATATGCCTTTTTTTTTTTTTGGTATTAAGAACTTCATCATCATGCTTTATTCAATAAAATACTTTTAACTATTTATGAATGCGTTTCGTTTTCCTTTAATAATTTATTTATGAATGCTTTTTTAATATTGTCCGCTTTAGCTCGTTATGTATTGATGTCAGCTTCCCGATTTTGAAACGTGTCCGTTAGAGAAAGGTTTCTATACCCTTGTAATGATTTTCATTCCCCTTAGCTTCACGATTTTGAAATGTGTCTGTTAGAGAGAGGTTTCCACGCCTTTATAATGAATGTTTCATTCCCCTCAGCTTCACGATTTTGAAACGTGTTAGTTGGGGAGAGATATCCACACCCTTATAATAAATGCTTTGTTCCCCTCTCCAACTGATATGGGATCTCACAATCCATTCTTTGGCGCCAGCATCCTCACTGACACACCTTCCTGGCTCTAATCGCATTTGTAATAGCTCAAGCCCACTGCTAACAGATATTGTCTGCTTTGGCCCGTTAAATATTGTCGCCAGCCTCAACGGTTTTAAAACGTGTCTACTATAAAAAGGGTCTAGCTCTACTCCAACCAGTGCCTCGTATTGTCTGGTGACTGACTCTAATACCCTTTCTAACACCCCAAGCCCACCGCCGACAGATATGGTACTTTTTAGACTCTCTACCCAATAGTTATATGCAGTAAGTCATTGTTGTTGCTTATTGCTTACATTCCCATATAATACTAATTTCTATTTCTCAAATCTTGCTTTCAAAATTCTCTTTCGAAATCTCCCTGCCCCCGTTTTCTAAAACTTTCTTCTTGGACTAGGGCCAGAGGCTTAAGTATACGTCGTTTGGCCGTAGGCGACACGAGAACGAATAGGCGTAAAACTCACTCGTTGCTGAGGACTGAGTATTGCATAATCGCAAGTCCGCTACCATCAAAGTATGATTGTGGAATTTTCCCTCGATGTTTTAAAACACGTATGTGAGGGAAACGGTCTCCACACCCTTACAAGAAATGCTTCATTTCCCTCGTGGGATCTCACATAAAGTTCCAAGAAAATATTAGACTATAAACGCTCAATAACTAAAATAATAATTTAACTTATTATATTTGAGATATATGTAAATTTGAACATAGTTTAACGATCGATGTTCCCGTTATATCTCATTAAATTATTACCCTTTTATTTTTTTTATAATAAAATAGCCACCATGGTCAACACTATAATATATAGCAAATAAATAAATAAATAAATGGTTTCCCCAACCCTCAAGGCAGCCTTCAATCAAAGCACATCAAACTTGCTTTCTCAATAAGAAACAAATTAAATCATCACCATGCGTGGAAAGAAACAGAAAAGATTGGAATCAAATGCAAAAGAGAGTGAAAATTGTAATAAATAAGTGAGATTCAAACAAATCATTATGAGATTACAAGCCTCGAACCACAAGCACAAAAGCTGGGTTTGGCGGAGATCATGATATCTACTCAACAAATCAACATCCCATTCATTGAGCCTGTTAGAACAGAGAGCTAAAGGCATGAACGAACGAACGAACGAACGAACGAATCATACTCCAGAAACAGAGAAACAAACATGGTAATGGGAGAATCATCACACCCTTCTTCTTCCTAAAGCTTGTCTTCTGCCACTGAGAAAGAAACAGTGAAGCATTCCCAATTCCCATACACAGCAGCATCCACTGTAATATAATGTAATGTAATGTACTAAAATCTATCCATCTTTTGGTGGAAGATCCCAAAAACCTATCTCTCACCATCAGAATTAACTCAATTCAAAACAAAACACAGTGGATTCCGGTAATGGAATTGTTACAACACATTAGATCTTTTCAGAAAAACAATCCACGAATTAATTCAAGTAGGTTTCAAATTCTTAAACATTGTATCCCACCTGATCTCCTGGACGCCATTCCTCCAGTAACCATTCTGCTTCTTCTTCTTCTTCCTCCTCTCCTCCGGCCGGAGCCCATACAGAATCGGACCGGAAAAGCTGTGAACACGCGGCAACAGACCAGAAGTATCCGGACTTCGATTAGTGAGAAGAAACTTCCCCTGCTGTTTAGCGATAGTCAAATTCCTATTCGGTTTGAGAAATTTACCCGCGTAAGTAGATTTCGGAACAAGAACTAGGGCTTTGGAGTCGTCTTGATCCCGATAAGTGAAACTACGAATTAGATTAGCAAAACGGCGCTTGGTACTCTTAACAGCGAGAAGAAGACGAGTGATCGGACGGGGACGAAGTGCGGTGTCCTTGCGAGCGAGCTTGAGGATCTCGAGACGGTGCTTGGCAATGGAGATTCCGATACTCTGAAGAAATTCGTGGTTGAAATAGCGGATATCTTCTCGCTCAAGCTGGTTATGGGCTAGGGCAAGGCCGTACTCGTAGACCAGAGCAGGATGTAAAGGTGTTCTTGAAAGCCATAAGAACCAATCCATGTGTTCTTCTTCTTCTTCTTCTTGTTTCTCTGTGGGGAATGATTTACACTTGGAGACGAAGAGATCAGCATATTTATACATAAACCAACCTTTTTTTCCTCACCAAAAAACTAAATTTCAATTTTTTAAAACCATAATTTATATATTGTTGCTATATTTTCATTAGATGTTTGTTTATCTGGACCAGCTCCCCAAACCGAAACAAGAATCCTCGTTTAAATTGAAAAATTAAGATAAATTTCTTTTAACTAGCTAAACGGACTCCCAGACAGAATTATATTTTCATCCTCGCTCTCCCCCGACCCTATCCCATTTTTTATAATATTGAAAAATGAAAATTATCTTCTTCTTCTTTTTTTTATAATTTTAATTTTAATTTTTAATTAAAATAAAATGGAAATATGTTGTTTCAAATGGAATATTATTCATTGTTTTGACATTTCAGGTTATTATTAAATCATAATTTGGATAATATATTTAGATTTAACTTTTATTATTATTATTATTATTATTATTATTATTATTATTATTATAACAAAGGTGGAGTTCTCACTACGTTAATTTAACTGTTCCAACTAAATAACATAATTTTTTTTTTTTTTTTTAAGAAACAAAAATGAAAATAAGATTAAAATATTTCATTTTCTATTATTGTTATTTTGACAAATTTGACCAGGAATTATTATAATTACAATAAAGTATGACCCATTTGAATTGTTAAAAATGGGGTTAGGTGAAGCTTTTACTCTTTTTTTTTTTATATATATAAGATACAGTTTGCTCGATAAATTGTAATTATAGAATATAAATATTTTTAATGTAAATTTAAATCAATTAAATTATTAAAAGTGAATTAATCGAGCTTTATTGATACAACATTATTAGTATGAGGACGCGAAATATGAAAGTCCAAAGTGCTGATATTTCCTTAATATATATATATAATTTTATTTTTTTTAGAGTACGCGAAATATGAACATTATTAACTTGAATCATAAGAGTTAGGTTGGGTTTAGGTTGGGTATGGTAAATTTTTTGAAACCAAACTAATTCTAATCGAATTTCAAGTTTACCGGATAAAAGGTTCGAGCCAATTTGGTGGCCATGCCCACGCCCACGCCCACGCCATCAAATGCTCCTTTCCCTCGTAGACTCCCTCGCCCATTATCAAATTATAAAAATCACTTTCAAATATGAGGGTTATTTTCTTTAAATGATTATTAGTTATCCCTAGACTAAATATTCCATATTGACCGATAATTATTTTTAAGTGGTTTTAGGTATGTCTACGTCTCCTTAAATAGAATCTTTAGTCTTGTGAGTAGATTAACAAGACTTGCGACGTCTCCTTCGAATAACAACACCTTTGACAAGACTTCTATATGACCCACGTGTGAAACTTTTTTTTGCACAACAATAACTTGAAGAACGCAATTTCGAGCAGGTTGCATGTCTCCCTTAAACCAAACCATGTAACAAACTACCATAAGCAATGATCAGCAAGAAAGGTAAAATGCCCTCAATGGGTCAAGTTCCCTTACCAACCTAGCAACTGTGACAACACATCTTGAATGGCGACGACAATGTTCGACTACGATGCATACTTTGAACCATATCGAACTTGAGTGCCCATAGCTCGTAGAGCTCATATCTACAAGTTCGAGCACGTTCAAACACGAACCATCATTACCCCAAGATAAATAGAAATTTTCCACACTAAATTAAATAAATATTTCTGATGATAATTTAAATGTGATTTATGTAATGGGCTTGGCCTTTAAAAGAAATGGGTTTGGAGGGTGAGCCTATCTGAATTGGGCCTAGGCTTGGGCTTTTGGGCCTTGTCACAATGAAAAAAATAAATTAGATTTATAATTATATCAATTTATTCAATTTTTCATATTAAAAAAAATGATATTTATAATTATATCAATTAAATTTACAAATATTATTTATTTATTTGGCTCTGTACCTAAAAGAAAATAAAGAAAATAAAGGAGGATTCTTTTTTGAAAGAACCTTTCTTTTCTTTTACCCTTCTCGATTCTCCCTTCCCTTTTCACTTTTTTTACCTTTTACTATATTCCCTTTCCTTCTAGAAATTTACCCCACACCCGCTTTCTCTACGCGCTTGCTTTTCAGGAAAACGTTCGTCGGTGCATGATTCTTCTTAGTAATATCCTTTTCAAGTGTTTGTTATTCTTTTGACGTTGAATTCGAGAGTTGTTGTTTGTATTACGTCCCTTTTGTTTGTCACTTTGACTGGTATTTATTATGCTCGTTGACATCCGTAAATGTTTCGACGAATCTTATTAGATAACCCGTCTAACCCTACATTGTCTGGAGTGTCGAAAACTTGTAAAATATCAAATTTGAGGCAAATGGTCACTATGGTACGTACCATCTCATAGAACCTTTAGGAACTGACGTTCGACTTTAAACAAATGAATAGGTTTGTTTAAGACGTTGGATTTAGGGCTTATTTATATAAAGACGATATTCGATAAAGTTATAATACAATATTCTTTTATATTTTTTAATTAAAAAACTAAAGAAAAATGTTGTGGATATGAAGGAGAAAATTGTCTTTTCACTCGTGTTATACAATATCATGGGGAATTAAAATATTCCTTTTTTTTTCCTTTAAGGAATTGGATTTATTATTAGCTTTGCTTAATTTAGCAATAATAAGTATTGAATTAAATATATAATTTTATGTCCTTATCAATCATAAAAAGTCAATTATTTGGAAGGTAGTGAAATTACAGAAATGTCCCCAGTGGATCCAAGTTGTTTGAAATTTGAAAATTCTGTGGTAGAAAATGACATCTATCTTATTCGTCCGGAAACTTTATTTTAAAATAATATTTAGGCAATTAAAATTATATATGTCACCATCCACGTAATTTAAATATTTAAATACCAGAAACTGAATTTTCTTGAATTTAAGGTCCACATAATTCATACTTTTTAAATAAAAATAAAAATAAAATAAAAAGGCGAACGCTTTGTAATATCAAAAATGGAACAAGAATTTTAAATCCATCATGTAATTGTTTTCTCGAACGAGACGAAGATTGACTCTTGAGAACAAAAGCAGAAGGGAGTTGACTTTACTTATCCCATCCAACAAACTTGAACGAACGAACGAACGAATGTTGTCTCGTTTAACCGGCTCAAGAAACAAAAAATATTAGATTACTTAATTTATAGAAATGAGGAAAGATAAGACTAAGTAAGTCGGGAGGAAAAACTTAACTTATAATTGAATTTATGAATAGGTTTCCTTTTTTGCAACGATGTCCTTAACGAATTATGTTTAACATAGTTAGTCCAATTGTTCATCTATAAACAAGGTAAATAAATCCACTGAAGATCGAACTAAACTAATGATACTTCATTTTAAATTAATTAGAACGTTTTTTGTTTGTTCTTATATTTTAATTTAATTTTAAACGTTATTTTACGATCGTAGTTTAAAATTTATAACAATTTAATTTCATCGAATAAAACATACGTCACTCATAAGTAAAATTTGGGTTCAAATTGACATAAAATGTAAAAGTAAAAAGTTGGGGTATAATTTTATTTATTTGACCTTATTTTGATAATGGCGAGGTACAAAAAGGTAAAATAAAGTTTTTTTAAAATAAAATATATATATATACTAAATGAGTGGGTCCCACCACAAAGGGGATCCCGTCCTCCGTCCAACTTCGAAGTCCCATCCCACTCTCTCATTTTTTTTATTTTTATTATTTTGAGATCTAAATCAATCCCTTATTTTAATTCAATAAATAAATAAATTTATATCATATCGCGATATATCGCTTTCATATCTTCTTCTCGGACTTGTCCTACCCCTCCATTTATTTTATTTTATTTTTCTTTCCCTTTTTAAAAGTGACTACAAAAAGAAAAGCTGAAATTCCATTTTTGTCCTCACATATTTCCCCATACTACCTTCTCTCCCTCCCTCAATACTTCCTTTCACTCCATTATTTTTCCAAATCTAGATCCTCCTAATAAATTCTTTTCTCTTTTTTTGTTTTATTTTTATTTTTCTTAAAATCTTTTTTTTTTTATTTTTTTTATATCTTTTTTAAAGTTTAAAGTATAAAAAATTCAAATTAATATATAAATAATAAAAAATTAAAGAAACACCACTTTTAAGAAAATAATACGTAAGAGTGGATATTCAAATCTGAAGAATATAATAGGTTAAATATATTCGATTTATTTAATTAATTTGAAATTAAGTGCATGGGGTATAGTGGGTAACACGATGGCCCACATTGCTTTTATTTTTTTATTATTTTAATTTATATTAAAACAATGCTGGGATAAGAAAGAGACAAACAAATGAATAAAGGTATTTTAGTTCTTAATTATTGGGACTGAACTGAATGGGAACATAAAGTCAAGAATATTCATTTTTTATTAATTTTTAAAATAATTCCTTTTTTAATTAAAAAAAATGATTATTTTATATTATTTTCTCAGTGGACAAATTATCAATCCAACCACATGCTGTCTCGTTATTGGAGGCGATTCATTTCGTTTTCACGTGATTCTCAATTTCTTTCTCTCTTTTTAATTACATATAAATTTATATATATATCAAGGAAAATTAGTGATGGTAAAATGAATAATAATATTTTAGTGGTTGAGATGAGGTGGAATTTTGGTCCAATAAGATCTTGACAAATATACATCAATTTTAATTTTATATATTCCTTCTCTTTCTTGAAATAGTTTTATAACAAATTATATTTTTTTATTTATAAATTTAATTTCATAGTCAATTAAAATTTAATTGGAGGTAGAGTTTAAAAGTTGATAAAATTACTCTTTATTTTTTTATTTATAAGAAGGTTAATATTGGGAAACTTAGATTGATGAAATATAATTAATAATAATAATATAAGAAGAGTTAAAATTTAGTCAAAGTGGGAATTAATATGAATTCTCAATCACAATGGGAGAGATTAAAGTAATGAAAGTGACGTTTGTATTTCCCAATGACATCCAATATATCGCGATATATTGTTTTTCTCACGATAAATTAATTTTGCGGTAAGAAA